TTCTCGAAAAATTATAGTAAACATGACATTTTCATACTCCAAATTGAGCTGGGTTTTAATAATAGTAGAAAGCCGCTTTTAAAGTATATTTTAAAATTTAAGAATGACTTTCAGATAGCCGAATCGCTGCGCCCGATCCTGCCGCGCTGGCTGTTCGCGATGGGCTACGTGACCCCGGCCTCGTACGTCGGCGCGATGGCCATGGATGAGCCGAGGAGGATGAGGGCGCATTTGAAAGTAGGGTTTTACGATTATTACCTTTTTAATGCAATTCTGCAGCTAAAAATAGGTGATTATGCGTCTATTTTACGCATTCGCAGTTGCTAAACGGAAAAGAATTTTGGCATTTTCAGTAGCGAAAATCGAGCTATGCTGTTTTAGGTATTTTTGAAGTGGTAAAGCCTGAAATTACAGTAATAGGTTTCGGCTGCTTCATTTTGAGCGTCAATTAAATGAAATTTAAAGCAGTTAGCGTTTTCCTTTAAACACGGGTATAAAGCTTTGTTGTAGATGATTTTGCGACCCAAAAATCTCATAAAAAACTTTTGAAACGAATGAAACACATACGTTTCAAATTTAAAAGTTTTGATTGATGTAAGCCACGCTATTTGACCCATTTTCAGGACAAAAAGGTGCTTGACGCCCGGAGCACGCGTGCTCGCCTGATCCTCGACACGGCCGTGTGGCAGCTGCTGAGCAACCTGATCATCCCGGGCATCTTCTTGCGCCAAGTCTCCAAGGGATCCCTCCATCTACTGTCCAAGAATCGGAAGATGAACAACTGGGCCAAGAAGTCCATCGCTTGTGCCATCCCCTTGGCCACGATTCCGATCATCGAGCGACCCATTGATGCGGCTGTTCAGATGGCGCTCAACTCGACGATTCGACAATATTGGCCGCTGCCGAAGGATAGATAAAATACTATTGTATTTAGTCTAAAAATAATTCTAGAATGGCTTTATGAAAACGACGCAATTTTTGTATTTTTTTTGCAAGTTAGGCTTCATTTTGGGCTTTTTCAACGCCTAATTAATGCTTTTTTTGTAGTTTGTAAGCTATTAAGATCGGGAAATAAGCTAGTTTCTTTTTAATGAAGCTTAGAATTGTTTTTAAATGTGTTTTCACCCTAATTAAAATTGATGCCAGATTTGCTTGATTCGAATTATTCTTGCTTTTTTGCAGGTTAGGCTGAATTTTTCTGCTAATTTTCCTCTATTAATGCTTTTGTAGTCTGTATTTATGATCTCTAGGAATTGGTAACGGGTTTTTCGTGTATTTAAGAAAGTGCCAAAGTTTTTTTTGCAAATAAATGTGTTTAATCGATCGAAACTACAGTTTTTATGGCAAAAAAAACACCAAAATTACAGTTTGTTCAGAATCGGGTAGAAAGGGTCAGAAAATTGATTATTGGCTCAAAAATCATCGCCGCTATCTCCCTCCCGGGGCGCCATCTCGTCCTCGACGTCTTCAAGCTACAAAACAAGTAGCAACTTTGGCGGCGTAGCGAGCTAAAAAAGTTACCTCCAAATGCTGCACCGGCTTTCGAGAACGGCCAGCGGCCGGAATTCGGTCCTTCATTGCTCTAAAAATAAGAAATTTAGAAACGTTAATCATTTTTTATAGCGGGTGTAAGGTTTGCTAAAATTAAAAAAAAAACATAAATGGCTTGGAGTTGAAAAAGAAATTCCTTACCTTCCATGGTCAATTTCCTCATCTCCATCGCTAACATCCACGTCATCATCACTGTCCTCTTCCTCATCCGAGAAACCGACACCCATCATGTTACCGTAGATGCGGCGAGCTCCTAAGAACCAGCGTTATGGATTTTTTTTTCCATAGTCAATAAGCTTCGTCTAACAAGGAGACTTTTTTAGTGTCCACGGAGTTTTAAAATGGGACCAAGCCTATTTGATGCAGAATTTTTCGCTGATCAAAACGGACTTTTCAGAATCTGCAAAACGACCATATTTCAAAAGTTATGAAGCTTTAAAGTGTGAAAAATGGCCGACTTTTGCCGTTTTTCGCCCTTTAAAGCGTCATAACTTTCTTATTTTGGTCGTTTCGCGGATTCTGAAAACGAGGTTTTAATCAGCGCAAAATTCTGCATAAAATAGGCTTGGTCCCCTTTCGAAACTCCGTGGACACTAAAAGACGTCTCCTTGTAAGAAGAATCCATCTATTAAAAGGTTGTGTTTTTATGCCCAACCTCCAGTCGGTCGCATCGCTTCCGGCTCGTCATCCAGCTCGGAGACGTCAATGGGCGGGGCCTGGTTCGCGTTGTCGGTGCGCATCTTTTCGACGACCTGAAAAGTATCGGGGCCTTTTTCCTAAAAGATCTTTGCTAGCCTGCCCCGGGCCAGTGAGATCAGGCTCCTAAAGAATCTCTGCTGGCTTGCCTGGCGATGATAGTATTTGGATTGAATTTCTCAATGATCTGTGCTAGCCTGCCCCGGTTCAGCGACGCCGGGGTCCTAAAGAATCTTTGCTAGCTTGCACTTACGCTTTGGAAGCTTTGGTGCAAACACGTCCGGATACGATTTTTGAGCGCGTCTATCCTTAAAAATCTCTGCTAGCTTGCCGAGCCTAAACTGTCGTTATTTCCTAAGAATCTCTGCTCGCCTGCCATGCGCCCAGAAATTTTTGGCTCTGATCGGGTTTTCGGATTCCCAAAGATTCCGTGCTAGTTTGGGTATCCTCCATGGGAGCCTGTCTTACGTTCAGATTTTTGGCCTTTATTGTGTTTTCGGGTTCCCAAATGGTCTCTGCTTGCCTCCCCGCCGTGGCAGCCTTATATCCTAAATAACCTCTGCTGGCTTGCCCCTTCTAGCTGCATCAAATTGACTGAAACATGACTAACCTGTCGCATATTAGTCTCAGTCTCTGCTTGTCTCTGCCTGTCTGCCCTCTCCATCTCCACCATCTGTAGTTGTAGATACGACAAGTTCCGAAATTTGAGCACGTAAATATCATACAATTGCTTCAGTTTCGTCTCGTATTTTTCGTACTCGTCCATGTATTGAGGGCGGAATGACTGGAATGGGATTTTAATCGATTCCGCAATGGTCTCTACTAGCTATCCCCCGAAAATTTACCTGCAATTTAGCCAGCCGCTTCTGCATCTGCTCGTACTCCCTGCGCTTCCTCTCAATTTTCTCGTCAAGCGCCTTTTCATCAGAGGTAACGTTGTTGAGTTTATCCTCCGTTTGGGTGGCCAATGTCGAAAGCGCTGTGGTAGCATTTCGGAGTGCTTTCTCGGCTTCGGACGGTGGCAGGGCACGGGATAGAGCACGGCTACGGTCGGCCTAAAAATTTAGCCATTTTGCGTCCTTAAAGGTGCTAGGAAGTGTGCGAATCGAAACCTTATATAGACTAGGTCTCGACGGCTACGTGAAGTTCCAAAAAACGCTGGTTCTATCGTCCTAAAACCTGACATTTCCTAGGGTACCAGAGCGTTCTCACGCGTTTTTTTGGAATGCCGCCTAGCTATCGAGGTCTTGCGGATCGTAGGCGGTTTTTCTGCTGCTAGCGCTTTTTAAAGGCGGAATGACAGCGGGTTTTTAGGTCCTAAGCTCATACAAGAAATTCTTACCCGATAGTGCAGCTCCTTCTCAAGCAACGAGCTCAACGCCGACCCGGTTTGGGGTAGCTGGGCGGCAAGCGAGGCGCATTGACGGACCTCTTGGAGCTGGAATTAGGTACTTTCGAGTGTAATAGGATCAAAAAAAATAATTAGTGCAATCATAATGAAGTTCCTAGAGTGTAGTAAAAAGATCGTCGTCGAATGATTGTAATTCCAGATGCGAAAGACCGCGACGCGCAAGCTAGGCATTCAGGAAAACACAGGAATTAAGAACCGAGAAAACCCTTTAGTCGTCCGATATCATCCGATACCTTTGTCGCCAATTTCGTACGGATCACGGGTATAGTCACGGCATGGGCCTCACTCGTGCTTCCTCTATCCGCTAGCGACAGGATTTTCAAAGGTTGGACGAGTTCCTGGACGGCGTGACCGTCGGCCTGAAATACACAAATTTAATTTTTAAATGGCATGGCCAATAAAAAAATGGCAGTTTTAATACCGTAGGTCCAAAAGGCAGGCGTTTCTGAAGGTGGAAAGGCCAAAAATCATGATATCTTACCATGTACAGCTTTTTCGGATTCAGCTTGATCCTCGCATTCTGAATCAGCAACAGCACTGCGCTTTTGATGAAGATTACCTAGAAAAAATAGCAATGAAGTTTATTAGGATGCTTACCCTCTCCTGCTCAGTGCTGCACTTTGTTGACATCAGCGCGTTTGGTTCAAAACTGAAAAATGCTATTTTTTTAGTTGTTTTTTTGTGAGTAGGGTCATACTACTTTTTAAAAGGTATAAAGACTTATTATAATTTTACTTTACTTACCGTAACACGATCCATTCCAATAATTCAGCGACAAGTGGGAAATTCGGTTCCCGAAATGAGTCGATGGAAATAGGCCTTGGGAAACCGGCGATCCGGCACATTTCACAGAGGTCTAATCGGTTAAATAAATTAATCTATGGACCTTAACTTACTCCTTAATTCGCGATACGACATTTTCGATATTTAGAGTTTCAATATGCGTGGAGGATCGTAATAATAGCCAAAAATTAGGATGCCGGGTCCGCGACAACCAGCTGTGGTGTGGCCGCATCGCCATGACAACCCGGGGTTTTTGGGAGGGAACCCGGCTGGCAACTAGCCGAATAACGCGGAGAGCGGGCGTAATTTGGGCAGAAACATAGTCGCTAATACGTTTTCCAAAATCTTTTATTAATATAGTGTAAATAGTGATAAAGAGTGTTACAAAGGCTTTTTATGGCTCATGCTTTTGTGTGTTCAACCTCTTACGACACGAAAAGCCTGGAACTGATTTCGATAAATCGTCGTGTAAATATGCGTATACATCTACGTCAGCAATTTATTATTTTGTACAGCCGGAGATCACAATATTAGCATAAAAAGTGAAAGAAATAGGTTAAAATAGGTTCTTCTTGAAGAGATACTTGTTTTCCAGTCTTCCCAGGAAATAATTCGTGTCCGATCCGAGATAGAGTCTGCCATCCGTCGTCTCAAGTGCCATTGAGATTGACGGCATGGTCTCGCCTTTGGTGTCGTGGTAAGATTCGATAATTCTTCCGGTCAGAGGATCGACGCGTAGCACGAGACCGTACGGAGTAGTAAAGTACTCGGCGACAAAGGCAAGCGCGCGGGGGGAGAGCACCTGGAAAAAGCGGGTTAGGACATAGCGGGCAAAGCTTGCTGGTACTGTACCTTACAAGGTAAGCTGCTAGCAGCACTGGGTAAACGTGTGCCCGTGCGCCGCGTGTCTGATCTCCTCTCTCTCTCTCTCTCTCTCTCTCTCTCTCTCTCTCTCTCTCTCTCTCTCTCTCTCTCTCTCTCTCTCTCTCTTCTTTCTCTGTCTCTCTCTATCTCCC